TCCCTCCTCGAACATCCTAACATCATTAGGATCAAGGTCAGAGTTAGATTCGTAGTCGTCGATCACAACTCCTTTCCCTTCTCTGCGGCTAAAGAAGCTCGATTCGGTCCGGATGACGAAGGCCCACCCAAATCAGCAACAGCGGCCCCGGGACCCTGGCTCCTATCGCAATAGCCCGTTGATCGTTCCCAACGACCAAAGCCTCTACCATCAGGTTGGCCTCTGCCAACTGGCTCGCCTCTGCGGCCGGGATAGTGTCACCGCCAATTTCAAGCACCGCCAAGGGAAGGTCGCCCCCCGAAGAAGCTTCGACAGAAGGGGCCACTTTGGATTCCACCCACCGTCTCTTCGACAGACCCTCTCCGTTACTAGCACGGGAAGATTCACCCATTGAGCGGACAACAGAAGCCGGAGCTTCAGGATGAGGAACAGTTTCCATGCATACAGCCCCGGCCGAAGGTACAGATTGAGCATCCCTTGACGTGGGCCGGGCAGCAGACCTCGGCGCGGGCTGGGCGGAAGATGCCACTCGACGGAACGCGAGCGGAGGAGCCCTTGCCCTTCGTACTCTCCTTGTTAGCGAAGAAAAACGGTCAGTGAACTATAAGTTCGAGTCACGAGGCAAAGAACGGGGAAGTTGCAGCGAGCAGACTTACCAGTGAGAGGCTTACGCCCATATTTCTCGTAGAAGGACGCCCATTCGTGAACCCGCACCGTATGGGAAAGGATGGAATTCGCCCATTCGCGGATATCGTCAACAGGCGTAGGAGGTAATCTCTCGGCTGAAAAAGTGAAAACGATTCAACAAAGCTGACCGAAGAAAAATGGTCGACCACCAATCCGACAAGGGATACCAAGTAAAACAGGAAAACTTACGTGCAAAGTTCCACCTCTCAGGGAACCCTGCCGAGTCTGTCACAAGGTGCTCAGTCTGCACATAAAAATAGCTTTCTCAGAAATGACGATTAGCTTTGTCGTCCATCTTCACCACCAGGCTCTTTGTCCCTCGGTGGTGCATATGGATCATCATGCCTCGAATAAGTTGAGAGGCAAAAATATTGAGCATATGTCCCAAAGTGACCTCTCGACCGGCAAGCTCCACGAACTTGAGCAGCATGAGAAACAGCTTGTATACGTACGGGGAAAGCTGAGCCGGGCACACTTCGTAGAAACGGCAGAAGTCCACCACTAAGGAAGGGAGAGGAAGTGTATACCCGACAACAAAAGGGTATGCGTAGAACGTGCAGTATCCTGGGCGGTCCAAATGTATAATATCATCTCCCGCCGCCGGCAACTTCTTAACATGGTTCGGAATCCTCCATTTGGTCTTAAGCTCCGCAATCGCCGCTTCATTCATAACAGAGGGAACAGGATCCAGTTCCTCTCCGGCTGGGCTGTTGAAATCAGTCCATAACTTCCCCGGGCGGGGCAATATTTCGGCCGCTGTTGGAGTCCCCTCATCCTCCGCCACCTCCAATCCTCCAATAGCAGGAGCATCATTTTCTGGCACCGGAACTTCGGCAAGTCTGTCAGCGCGGGAAGAAGTACCAGCCCTTTATCTCGATTGATCAGAATAAATGAGTAAGAGGAAGTAAGAGGGAAGACGATGGCGTCAAGTTCTAACTGACAAGAGAATGAACTCAGAAGTTTGGAATTTTGAAGAAGGTAAAGGTTTGTAAAACTCTTCAGATGAATCGGAAAATGTAGCGGTAGAATGGTGTTTTATCTCTATTTATAGGAACATGAATGTCCCGGGCGAGAAACCTAAGAGCCGCCAATCAAAAACTGATAGGGCTCGGGAAACGATACGGTGCCTAGGAAACATGCGCCCCAACAATGCATAAAGGGCATTCATGACGCTGCAAACAAACGTGATGGATCAGTTTCGAACTGACGTAACGGTTCGATAGTACCATCAAAACTCCATATTGCTTTCCTTAACCTAAGGTTCTCGTTCGACGCACAACGATCAGATTTCTCCTAACTTACAAATCAACAAAGTCTGTCCGTTGAGCCCGCCAAGAAGCGACCCCATTGGACGGAGGGACTAACTGTATGGGTCAAAATCTGATCATGGGTTAATCATCCCTAAGAGGAACGATATGGGGTCGACCAAGTCGTAGTCATGCCCACAAGGCAAGATGGCAAAGGACACCTCGACCATCGTCGGGGCCAGACCGTAAGAAAGCTTACGTCGCGGAACCGATGTAGCGGTCAAGCAAATGAAAGAGGGCGTGGTAACGAGAAAGTACGCTGGTCAAAGACCATTGGACAAATATGAAAACTGTTAATATAAATAGGGGTAGCTAAACCCAAAAAGGGGGGGGGGGGGGGGTCACGAGAGAAGCGAGAATCAAGAGAATCTCTTAAGGAAGAACATGTCCTTCGCTTCTTTTTTGTTTTTTTCCATGTTCATGAGATAAATCGATCATAGATGTAAGCTTATCACATATGATTGGTGTATAATTATGGTATGAAGAAATACTATCTGCGATTATTCTTCTTCTTCATTTATTCTCTACCCTGCATATCTGAATCTGGGATTAATTATATTTAGCTAAGATTTACCTTCTTTAATTCTAGCAATTAGTTCGACAAGAGGGTTTTTATACTTTTTTGTTCAAACAGTGGGCAGTGGGGCTTTTGGAGGGCGCAAGAGAGATGAGCTCTTTTTGTTTTGTATAAATGATTTAAAGTATATACACGATAAGTGTAATTTAACATATTGTATAATATATTACTAACAATTTATTATAGGTTACTAATGAGCGTTTATTAAATATTGTTATTGTTAATTGTATTTTAAGTGATCTTATTATGTAAGTTTGTTTTTATCCCGCTAGTGCATACAATAAAAAGTGCAAAGGTTGATAATCATAAGTTAATTTTTTTATTTTTAAGTTAATTGTTTCGTTGACTAACTTAATTGCAAATTGTTCGATTTTGTACTTACTGAGATTTACTTTCAACCTATTAATGCGAGTAAATGGTGAGCCATGTTAACCTTACAGTAAATTATTCTTCAATCATTTATGAATTGTACGGATTAGAAAAACGAGAGGATAAAAAGCAAATAGTTTCATGCCGCATGTCGGAAATGGTTTTACATGGGAAACCAGACTGACACATACTTTATATTTTACATTAAATAAAGTGCCATTTTTAAAGGCTTCATTGAATTTGGAGAAGTAATAGTTATAAATTCTCCACTATATATTAATCCTAGTACTAAGTAGAAAAAGTACTACAGTAAAAAGGAAAGTCAACCACCGCGTTTTGTTATGAGTTACCGTGTTCCTGGCTCTTAGCAAAATCCAACCTGCTGATTATGACTAAACCTTCCGCCTTTTTTTTTTATAGAAGGCCACTTGATTTTAAGTGGGGTTTAGTTTGTTTTTAATATTGCTTACTCCCTCCGTTCCTTTTTAAGTGTTTTTGAGGTTTAGTCACTTATTGAGAAACTATGTTAATAATATTAATTATAAGGTATTTGATTAAATTATCTATTATTTCTTCTTTAAACGTGGGAAGATTATTAGAGCAAGGGTAAATTAGAAAAATAATAGTTAACACCTTTTAATTTGCTAAAATAATAGTACTTATTTTGTACTGAATTTGAAAAGCTAAACGACACTTAAAATGGACTGGAAGGAGAAACATTTCAATAGTAAATTGTTTTGATTTAAAGTATTCCTTATTAAAAGGTTTTTATTAGCTTGAATTTGAAACCTTTGATTAAGAGTTACGAATCCCAACCATTCTAACCATGGGCGAAGCTACGTAGCACCATCAATTGACCACCCTTCATCGAAAATTTACACGGTATATATAAGATTGACTAGAGAGCGAAATACACCGAACCCATTTGACTTCAGAAGGAAAATAAGATTAGTTCATAACAACAACTGTAGTAACATGGAAATTGGAACACCGGCAGACGCCGTTTCTTTGTTGTTACTGCTTATAACAAACAACCAAAAAGAAGAAAAAAATGAAAAGACCAAAAAATGCATGTTTAACGATCCTAATCTGCGGAAAAAGACGCGGTATTTTACAGATCATCAGACGTGGAAATATTTCCTTTTCAGTACAGTTGTACTGTACAACTATTGTTTTCCATGAAAACGAAACGGAACGGCTGCGGAAGGAAAAAAATGACAAAATAGTCCCTTGAGTTTAGGATACGGTCTAAAATAGTCTTCTTTCAAATACATAGTTGAGCAGTTTTGGTCCTTTATATTTACTAAACTCGATTGATCACTGTTTTTAAAAGCACACGAAGATAGTTATTCTAACAGAATTCACTTATGAGAAGCGCATGAACTGTTTAAACTGATGAAACCATTAGGGCTGACTTCTTCGCATTTATTTCTGCCATTTGCACCTCATGAAAAATCATAATCAAGTAAATGAAACTTGCGAATATGATTTATTTTACCCTCCATTATATAAAATACTGAATGAATTAACGTGTATGTCTAGTTTGAACCACGATAGCACCATTTATTGTCAAAACATTAAAATTAGAAATAGGAAAAGGAATTCAAAGAAGTCCGTCCTAGTCGTTTCTGTAGTTTAAATAGTTTACGTGCTTCTCCTGAGCTAATTTCGTCCAAGATAATTACAATCAATACATTTTAAATCTAACAGAGACCAAATGCGTTCAATTTTAATAATATAAAAGACTAAATCTGCTGAGATATATACATAAAGGACTAGTTTTGAAATCTTCATTTTCTAGCTGGGGCGGCATATGGAGAAGCCGCGGGGGTTGATGACTTGGTTTCAATATTTAGGCATGGTTCACTTTGGCTGTAATTGGCTGTCATTTGTTTGTTTGCAAACTGGTTTTGTTTTTGTTGATTGACAGCCAAGAGGAATCTGGTTTTCTCACATTACTCGCTTTTAGTTGACAATACCTTATTATTAATTTATAATATAGTAGTAATTGTCTTTCTTCCTTAGACTCACCAATCTCTCTCCACGCTTTCCCTTTTTGACTGATCCCTTTTGTGTCTGATTTTTTCTTTCTCTTACGCTTATACAACAACTATTACACTAGTACGATATTAATTACTTATTTAGCAGTATTAAAGTATACCAAGATTTTTAAATTATAGCCGAAGCTTCCATGTGCCACGCCAGTCTCCACTGAGGCACTGACACCTGATCTTGCCCTTTTCTTCTCCTCCTTTTATTTCTTCTGCTTCTTCTCACAATTAACTACCATTTTCTCCATCTCTTCTCATCTCTCTCTTAGCTTTGACTTCAAACTCTCAAAGTACAATTAACTCTCTCTCTCTCTCTCTAAATTCCTGTGCCATCTTTTCTGTTTCAAGATCCAGAATTTCAGATCAAATTGTACCATTCTTGTAATGGGTGTCACTGTCTCAGTGTCATAATTGAGTTGTTAAGATTCATTTATTGCTTTTTTCCTCAAGTTCCTCATCTGGGGTTGTTGCCTTTTTCATCATCTATTTTTGGATTACTGAATAAGAGTAAATCCAAAAATGGCACCAAGCTCTGTAGTTGTTACTATAGAGAATCCAAAGAGCATTTCTTTAGTTGAAGTCAATGATTTGAATTCACCAGCTTTTAGGGATAAAAACAAGGCTGCTAATCCCAAAAGATTTACTAAAGTTCTCCTTCTCAAAGCCCAAAGAACTCTTGGTTGTATTCCTTGGTTAGCTAATAGTTTGTGCACAACTTTTGCTTCTGTTAAAAAAAGGATTGCTTTATCAGATAAGAATGATGAAGACCCTAAATACAGGGGAAAGTTGTACAGATTTATTAGAGCTTTTCTTGCTATTTCAGTGGTGGCTTTGTTTATTGAAATATTTGCTTATTTCAATCAGTGGCAGTTAAATTTGGTTAATCCTTGGGAAGTTCAAAGCCTTTGGCAATGGACTTATATGGCTTGGATTTCTTTTAGAGTTGATTATATTGCTCCTACCCTTGCTTCACTTACTACATTTTGCATTGTGCTTTTCCTCATTCAATCCGTAGATCGACTACTTCTTTGCCTTGGTTGTTTCTGGATCAAGTTAAGGAAAATCAAGCCAATTATCAATGAAGATGCAAGTGATCCTGAGGATGGATCCAATTTCCCTATGGTTCTTGTACAGATTCCTATGTGCAATGAGAAAGAGGTAAGAGAACTGAGATATTGCATATCTTAATATTGTAGTCATTCTTGCTAAATCAGTTTAATCAGAGGTAATTTAAAAACTTGAATTTGTTGGGTTCACTATCTATATTCTCACCACTTAATCCATTGCACTTTTACTATTATGGGTTCTGAACTTAGTGTTTGTTGAAATTTTAGCAATTTTTCATGTACTCGTGTGAAAAATACTGGGTTCAGTTGAACTCATCGAAACTACACTGCATCCGCCTATGAGTTTAAGCTTGTGTTGTTTTTCTTTTCTTCCAATAATGGTCTTGGTGGATTTGTAAATTTGATCTGACTTTTTAATTTTCTTGAACTTAAAGGTTTTCGCGCAATCAATAGGAGCTGTTTGTCAGCTGGATTGGCCAAAAGAAAGATTCTTGGTCCAAGTATTGGATGATTCAGATGATGAAGTGCTGCAGCAAATGATCAGGAATGAATGTTTATCCTGGAAAGAGAAAGGGGTCAACATCATCTACAGACATCGGTTCATCCGAACCGGTTACAAGGCTGGCAATCTTAAATCAGCAATGGCTTGTGACTATGTTCAGGACTATGAATTTGTTGCAATCTTTGACGCGGATTTCCAACCGAATCCTGATTTCCTTAAATTGACAGTACCTCATTTTAAGGTAACTAACTAGTTCAATTACTCAATCTGAATAGCCAATTGCTAATCATAAAGTTCTTTTTTGCTTCTTGATCCTGTTTGGTTTAACTGGTTAAAAGTAGCTGATAAGCAGCAAGTGATGAAAATCATTTGAAGTGTTGAACCTTATTTTATAAATGATCAGTTACTTGTTTCAATAGAACTGTTGGAGCTGATAATAAGTATTGCTATGCAGGGAAAGCCGGATGTTGGACTAGTTCAAGCACGATGGACTTTCGTTAATAAGGATGAAAACTTACTTACTAGGCTTCAGAACATCAACTTGTGCTTTCATTTTGAGGTGGAGCAGCAAGTAAATGGTCACTATCTCAATTTCTTTGGATTCAATGGAACAGCTGGTGTTTGGAGAATTAAGGCTTTGGAGGAATCCGGAGGTTGGTTGGAACGAACAACTGTAGAGGACATGGATATCGCCGTCAGAGCACACTTGTGTGGCTGGAAATTTATCTATGTTGACGAGGTAAGGGCGCTTTGTGAGTTGCCAGAATCATATGAAGCTTACAAAAAGCAGCAGCACCGTTGGCATTCTGGTCCAATGCAGCTCTTTAGACTATGTCTTCCTTCAATCTTGAAGTCCAAGGTGAGTGTTGCTTTGTATTTTCACACTCTCAATTCCACTTGCCAACCACATGAATATGAAAATTTCGGACTATTAGTAAATTTTAACAATGTCGTATATCCTTTGCAGATCTCTGCCTGGAAGAAGGCCAACCTGATATTCCTATTCTTTCTTCTGAGGAAGCTGATATTACCTTTCTACTCATTCACATTGTTCTGTATTATACTTCCACTAACAATGTTCATACCAGAAGCCGAGTTACCCCCTTGGGTGATCTGTTATATCCCTATAGTCATGTCCATTTTGAACATTCTTCCATCGCCAAAGTCGTTCCCTTTCCTAATGCCATACCTGCTATTCGAGAACACAATGTCCGTGACAAAATTCAATGCCATGGTGTCGGGGCTATTTCAGTTAGGCAGCGCCTACGAATGGGTAGTCACCAAGAAAACAGGTAGAGCATCTGAGTCGGACTTACTAGCACTTGCTGAGAGGGAATCGAAGAATATGAACGAAGAGAAAATTTCAAGAAGGTTGTCTGAGTCTGGTCTAGAACTATTCGGAAAATTAAAAGAACACGAAGAGGTGCCCAAGAAAAAGAAGGCAAACAAAATCTACAGGAAGGAATTAGCACTTGCTTTTCTTTTGCTCACTGCAGCTGCAAGAAGTCTGTTATCTGCACAGGGCATACATTTCTATTACTTGCTGTTTCAAGGTTTAACTTTTCTTATAGTTGGCTTGGATTTAATTGGAGAACAAGTCAGCTAACAAAAGCAAAGAGTTTAATACTACTTTATTTGGCACATCATCTGTTTAGAGAACCAAAATTTCCAGTTGAGTAGCAAGCAACACTTGGCTACAAAATGGATTTTCACCTTAAGAATAGTTTACAGGTGAATTTTAAACAAGTAGCATACTGAGATTCATTCATATATACTTTATTTTTATTTCTTTTCATTTGTGAAATTTGTAATTGCTCTTACTGTTTCAAGCATAATAATACATTGAAAATATTTGTTGACTTACTCTGTCTGCAGCAGGGTTTAGACTTCTGAGTTCACACAATGGCCTTTCTTCTTTTGGTGAAGATTATATGGTTTTTTGAATGCAAATTACTGTATGCTCTGGGATGAATAAAGTGAAAAACCAGGCAAATATTGAACACATTTCACATATAATATAATAGGGCAGCTCGGTGCATTAAGCTCCCGCTATGCGCAGGGTCCGGGGGAGGGTTGGACCACAAAAGTCTAGTGTATGCAATCTTACCCTGCATTTCTGCAAGAGATTGTTTTCACAGCTCGAACCTGTATAATAACTTCGTAAAATCTCTTTGTTAATACTGTAAAGCAAATTCATTTTGAAGTTACAAACAATAGAGTAGCAGACTGTTATTACATATGCATTAGCAATTATTTAACCACTAACACTATTGATTACCAAATGTGAAAATAATGTTGACTCCATTACATTTTTAAATTTATGATAATATTGCAGAGTTTTGTGTATTAAGCACTAACAATTTAGGACATATACTCCAGAATGAGACTTTTAAGTGAGTATGGGACGAAAGTCGGAAAAACTGCTAAACCATACTCATTCACTAGAAAACAAACGACGTCCGTTATCAAATTAGACCAAATCATGATCCTCGAGACGACTATACTATCTAGTTTGTAATAATATTATAAATAGGCAAATTCTATTAATTATCAGCAATCCAAAAATGGAAAATTACAACTGAAGAGAGGTCAAACAACATTCAAATACCAAACTATAACCGGAAATGAAATTCAAATACGAATGTAACTGAAAAAGAACAACATCAACTAATTAATCCAGCTCCATTCAATCGATTGCAGCTCACGTCCCAGTTCATGGGGGTTCAGGTGTTTTTTCAGACTAGTATAGGACAGCAAATACAAAGTTTGATATAGGTGCCCCCCTTTGTGTGTGTTTGAGCGCGTGTGTGTGTGTGTGCGCGAGAGAGAGAAGTGAATCCGAAAAAAGAGGGAGTGGAGGAAGAAGAATAATAAGAGTGGATTAGTAAATTGGATTAGGGATTAGAGTAGGGAAATTTGTATAGATTAGCAGTTGATAAGAAGAGCGTGTTGGAGTGTGAAGAGGGAACGGTAAAGGGGAAACCAAAAAAGAAAGAAAACAAAAAGGAGAGGGAAAAGGAGAGCGCGTTGAATATTAAAAGCACCAAGGCCCTTAACGAAATACCGTTTGTCAATTTATCCTTTAAAAATAAGTTTCACATTAGACAAAGTTGTAATTTAAACGTTCCTATTATCTAGCACTTTAAAATCAATTAAAATTTTGGTTATTAAATATTTTCTTATTAAACTAGGTAAAAAGTCCTAATATTTCGGACTTTAAAATCAATAAATTCTTTTCCTTATATAAATTTTTTTTCTTATTTTAAATTGTTAATATCTTACGTCTTTTTGTTCTATAAATAAAACTATAATAATAACATGTAGATACCCCAGTATTCTCCAACCACAAATAGAAAAGAGTATATGGACAGAGATATTAGGACATAACTTAGTCTTATTTTTACTTTTGGGGGAATTATTCTTGCACCTCTTTAATTTCATATTTATAATATTAAAGTCCTATATTTTATATTATATATTTTTCATCAACTCTTTTTTTTTTGGTTGAAACAGGAAAATTTTATTAGATACTAAGGAATATTACATATGTCACTCTCAGCCATTCCATTGGGATCGAAACTGGAAAGTGTTACAAAAGTAGTAGTACTATTAACTGCACTAATATTTCCCATACTAGCTAGAATATTACAAGCTTCTTCCGATATTGGTCTAGAGTAGATTTTCACTGCTACCTCTACCATTGGCTCATCTTTTAGCAAGGGAAAGTACCAAGCTTAGTAATATGAATAAAACAACCATCCTTGAGTACCAGGGTCCCCAACTGAGCCATTGACCACCTGCAAGAAGAAATAATATGGTTATAAATTTGATGATAAGTGTTTAGTAGATTTATTACCTCCGATGAGTCAGTTTCGATTTCAACGGGCTGGAGGTTGAACTGAATTGCAATTTTGAGACATGTTTCCAACGCAAGGAGCTTTGCTTGAGTATTGCTTACAACATATGAAAGTCTTCGAAAGCCTAGTATCCAGTGGCCATAGGTGTTTCGTATGACTCCTCCCACACCACCAATGTTTTGGTTAACTTTATAAGCACCATCACAATTGAGCTTATAAGAGCTCGGGCTAGGTTTTTGCCAGCTTATGTGGATGTTTTTGAAATTTAAGTTAGGATGGTAAGTAACAGTGAGGTACTTGAACTCGGCAGCTCTATTGAGAATTTGGGAGAAGGATACATCTTTAGATTCATTATTGAAGTTATTGCTATTGCGATTAAGCCAAAGGTGCCAGAGACCGTAGGGATATATATCATCCCATTCCAGCGAGAGGAAAGATTTTGCCGGTTGCGCAAGTTTAATCGAGTCATGCAGTGTATATCATTAGGAGTGCGAAGGGTGATAACAAAGTTTGCCCAAAATTTGTGGGCTATGGGACAAGTTTGGAAAATGTGAGTAAGGTTTCCTCACCTCGCCTACAAACTGGGCATTGATCATCAATGTTGAGGCCTATGTGATAAAGATACGATCTAGAGGGAAGCCTGTTGTGGTAGCAAAGCCAAAAGAAATAGTTGATTTTCCTTGGTATCTTTAGGTTCCAAATTCAGGAAAGGTTTAGGATGGGCTCCTTTTTCGGAGTAATTAGATTAATGGCAGATTTTAGGTTAAAAATGCCACTATTTGTGGAAAACCAACAAGGCTTATCATTAGTGTTAATAGGATTGGTGATGTGAATACTTTGGATGGCGTTTATGATATCGTTAGGAATGGAGAATGAGAGATTTGCAAAGTTCCAGGTGTGGTTAGTAAGAACGTCCTTTACCAGAAGATTTTCTTCATTATAATTAAGGGAACCTTGGATGAGAGTTCTTAATGGGGGGAGGTTAGGGATCCATCTACTGTTCCATAGGTTTACACGATCACCCTTACCTATACTCCATGCAAGACCTTTGGTGCATAAAGTCCATCCATGCACGATGTTTTTCCATATGAAAGAGGCCTTCTTGGGGGAATGTTTAGATGAATATTGGTTAATAAGAAGATTAACCCAAGGGGCCATAGGGTTGTTATAAAGAGGCCGAGTACGGCTAGCTAGGAGGGCTTGATTTTGGTAGCTTCTTTAACTAAGCCAATGCCTCCCTTCTCCTTAGGAGTAGTAACAATATCCCAATTTATGAGGTAGAGGCATTCTCTATCTTGGATAGTGCCCTTTAGAATGTTTCTTTGGAGGCGGTCAATATATTTTAGAGTTTGTTCTAGAAGTTAAAAATATTGCATGACATGGTTTGGAATATTGCTAAGCGTGGATTGTATTAGGGTAGCACGCCCAGCTAGGTTTAGGCAATTTATTTTTCAATTTGCAAGATTGACTCTCATGTTGTCTAAAAATATAGGAAGTCCTTAGGTTTTGGGTATTTGTGAACAATTGGAAAGTCTAAGTATTTTCCAAAATTATTGCTAGTGAAGATATTAAGAAGATTGAAAATTTTTGCTTGAAGGTTTTGAGGACAGTTCTTAGAGAAGAGAATCTTGGATTTTTTGGAGTTGATTTTCTAACCCGATAAGTTACAAAAAATAGAAAGGCTATTAGAAATAGTGGCACATGTTTTATCATTAACTTTAGCCATCAAGGTAAGGTCGTCGGCAAAGAAATTATGAGATAAATCTGGACCTTTGGAGTTTATTTTGATGGGGTCCCAGTTGGCACAGTCGACTTGGTGATTTATATACCTGGACAACATTTCTATACAAAGAATAAAAATACATGAAGACAAAGGGTCTCCTTGACGAATTCCTCTAGTAGGCTTGAAGTAGTTTGTCTTGGTACCATTGACAAGAATGGCAATGTTACTAGTGGTAATGCAATTCATAATAAGGAAGGTGATTTTTGGAGCGAATTTGAAGTATATAAGGGTTCTATAAATAAAAGACCATTCAAGACAATCGAAGGCCTTTTCTAGGTCTATTTTAACAATTATGTTAGCTTTGGAGCCTTTCATTTTATTGAACTTGTTGATGATTTCTTGAATATTGATGCTATTGTCACAAGCCCTTTTTTTTTAAAAAAGCTTGTTTGGAAGGAGTTTATGATCTTAGTTAGGAAAGGTTTGATACGATTAGCAATAATATTTGTAACAACCTTATAGATGGTATTGCAAAGTTCAATAGGTCGAAATTTTTTAAGAAGGTTTGCATTAGGGATTTTTGGAATAATGCAAAGGAAGGTATTGTTCAGGGGTTTTGAAATTTTTAGATTGTGAAAGATATTTCTTCCATAAGTAATGATGGAGTTTCCAACTACGGACCAATTCTTTTGGTTAAAAAAAAAAAGAATGAATATCGTCTAGTCCTGGTGCTTTCATTGGCTTAAAAGAGAAGATGGCATTCGAGATTTCTTGGTTTGTGAGAAGATTATCAAGTGAGCTTAGATCTATAATATCAAAAGATTGTGGAGATTAAAGGATTTCTGACCAAGTTGACTTTTTGTGGGAGGTGGTAAAGATTTTATTGAAATATTGAAGGGTGTGGTTAGCAATTTCGGCAGGGTCATCAATCCAATTCCCAGCCTCATCTTTAAAATGAGAAATTTTATTAGTTCTTCTACGATTTATGGTCGATATGTGGAAAAACAAATTGTGTTGGCATCACCATTATATAGCCAATTGACTCTCGACCTGAGTTTCCAAATATCATCTTCCAACTTAAGAATCTCATTGTACTTATTTATGAGTTGACTTTCGAGGTTTAGGAGGAAGTCATTAGCCGGGTAATTTGGAGAATTTCGGTACCTTTAATTCTAGCAGATAGTGTTTTTTTTTTTTTGGAATATGTTACCATAAACCTCTTTATTCCATCGGGAGGCTTCCAACTTAAATAAGGGTAAGGCATCTTCAAAAGATCTATTATT